ACTACTACCAAAAAAAAATCACAAGCATAAACTCATAGTTTTACAGCTTCACTTCCTCCACATTCTCTTTCTCTCTCCACTACTCTGGTTAAACTGGTTCTCCAAGCCTTTGTTAATATGACTGCAATACTCTCCTTCTTGTCATACAACTATTTAAATTTTATCTATCTTTCATGCCTTACTTTAAATTCTACCTCCTCCATTTTTCCTACATCAACTTATCTAGTCTCCCCTTTACTTCTAATGGTACCTCTAGTCAGTTTTTTGTTTTGTTTTGTTTTTAGCAATTCCAATTGTTTTCCCAACCAGATTGTATACCTTCTTGGGTCACAGAAAATGCCAAATCCTGTATTTGAAATGGTCCTCACACAAGCACCTTCCCCAAATGCCTGGTTTATAATAAGCACTTATGTGTCATACAATGTGTCATTCAGTAACAAATGGGCAAAATGGATTATAAGACTTGATAAACAAATTATATCGGATTCAGTATTTTTCATCTATCATCCTACTTAATACAGAAAATTCTATGCTTAATCTCACACCAAATTAGTCTATACTTATTAAGAATCTACTAACTGTTCACTATGCTAGGTACTGTTGAGATTAAAAATACAGTAGAAGACATGATCCCTTTCCTCAAGAGGTTTACAATCTTTCTAGGACATGCTTGAAACAATTTGTCAATAAGACAGTATATGCTTAGGTGCTAAATTCTGAGACACCTACAATATCATATAACTACCAAACAGTATTCTGAAATCTAGATTCTGGCAGACTTATTTCTTATATGAATAGTTCTTTTTATAGAACTTCTATCATTTACCCTTTTACTAACAACTTTGAATAAAATTTGAACACCAAAACCTTAATTTTTCAATTTTAATCATGAATTATCAGAAATCCTTCTATCTGACATATCCCCAAAATTAATTAAAATAAAATTCTAAATAATATTAAGCACGTATTGCTACAATGCTGCTTACCATAAGTACACCATATGACCACCAATCAGCACTCTGGGAATGGCCTCTCCTATTTACTACTTCAGGAGCCATATACTCTACTGTACCACAAAATGAGTAAGCCTTCTTTTCTTGATCTACTGACTCTTTGCTGAGTCCAAAATCTGTAATGGTTTTGCAAAAAAAAAAAAAAAAAATCTGAAAAACTTCAGAAAATAGAAAACACCAAAACAGACAAAATAAAGCATTAAACATTAAAATGACTTATGGATAGCCTAAGAAAGTTCCTGTAACACCAATAAAAGACAAGGGCCTGCATTTCATAACGATATGATATTCTATAAGCATTGAAAAACTATTCAGTTAAATCTCATCCTCAAAATTCATGCTTTCAGAATGGTAACAGAATATTATGCAACAGTTCTAAGGGAATAGGAACTAAATTAAAGATGCATATTGTTCTAAATTTTAAAATTTAGAGTAAGACAAAACAGCAAGTAAATTAAAGATGCATATTCTGAATTTTAAAATTTAAAGTAAGACAAAACGGAGTAACTTTTACATTTTAAAATAAAATAGTAAATTTTGCTTTGGCTTTGGTGAGTCTGCTTTTTCTTTAAAGATCTCAAATAGCTAAAGATAGAAATATATAAAAATCAATCTTAGGGCCAGCACTGTGGTATAGCAAGTATACAAATGTGGTGTAGCCTGCAGCACTGGCATCCCAAATGGGCACCAGTTCAAGTTCCGGCAGCTCTATTTCTGACCAACTCCCTTCTAATACACCTGGGAAAGCAGTGAAGATGGCCCAAGTGTTTGGGCCTCTATACCCACGTGGGAGACCAGGATGAAGTTCCTGGCTCCTGGCTTTGGTCTGGCCTAGCCATGGCTGTTGCAACCATTTGGGGAGTAAACCAGCAGATGGAAGACCTCTCTCTTTGCCTCTGCCTCTACCTCTCTGTAACACTTTCAAATAAATAAATAAATCTTTAGCAAATAAATAAATAAATATATCAGTCTTTTATGTACTACTAAGGAACAGCTGGAAGTTGAAATATAAAAAACTTCATTTATAACACCTTCAGAAAGATCACACAATACATATGTAGAAATATCTAAAATAAATGAAATACTTTTATGCTAAAAACTGGAAACACTGAAGAAGGAAACAGAAGTAGACCTATGTAGAGAGCAAGACTATGTCTGTGGATTGGAAGATTCAATGTTAAGACATCAACTCTCCTAAAATTTATATGGAGAGTAAAAAAAAAAATAACTTCAACAAAAATTCCAGCAAGACCTCTTTTGGTGAAATTAATAAGCTGACTCTAAACAAGACCAGTGTAGGCAAATAATGAAGGATTGAATTAAAAGGGAAAGAATGATCCTGCGGGGTAGGCAGGACATACAGCAGACTCATAGAATGGCAAATGCCCAAAACAGCACTCCGGCCTCAGAATCAACCCTTGGGGCATTTGGATCTGGCTAAAAGGCCCATGAGAGTCTCACAGAAATGGAAAGCCACGACACGGTGGCAAAAACAATCTAAATGAAAGATCCTCGTAAACAAGACCCCAGCAGAAGGAACAGGCCATCAAGGAGGGAGGCGCCTTTCTCCAAAGGGAGGAAGGAACCTCCACTGTGATACGGCCTTGACTAAACAAGTTCAGAGTTGGTGAACTCAAGGGGCTTCCATAGCCTAGACAGCTCATGGCAAGAGCCTCGGATGATTGCTGACGTCATGCATAAGAGTGCCAATTGTTAAAACAACAACGGGAGTCACTGGGTACATGCTCCCCACCTAGGATCTCTGTCCTTAACGTGTTTTACTATGAAACTTAAAAACAACACTCCTAGTCGAACAATACCCTATACCTTGTGCGGTTGTGTGAGGGCAGCCTGTTGAAATCCTTGCTTAGTATATACTGTGTTGATCTTCAGTATATGAAGGTAATTGAAAATGAAACTCGATGAAGGGCGGGATGGGAGAGAGAATGGAAGAGGGGAGGGCCGCGGGAGGCAGGGAGGTTGGGGGGGGGGAAGCCACAACAATACAAAAGTTGCACTTTGTAAATTCACATTTATTAGATAAAAAAGAACAAAAAGCTAAAAAAATAAAATATATATAAAAAGGCAAAGGAAATAGCCAAAATAATTTTGAAAAAAGGAGACAAAAAAGGGTCTATACTATCTAACTTCAAGATTTATAATAAAGTTAATCAAGATAGGCAATGGAGAAAGACTAGACATACATATCAATGGAACAGAAGGGTGTCTAATAACATACTTACCTAATAGACTACAACCTCTGTTTTGAACTATAATTTGTTGCAATGCATTTGATATATCAGGAAACAATTTGAGTATAACTCAAATTCTGCATTGGTTTATGTGTGATTTTGTCTGCAAGAAACACTAGATGAACATAAAAAAACTACACCTAGTTGAGTTTAGTCAAGTGGAAATACATAAAATGCACAAAGGTGCACACCTCAAACATCTACCATAAAGCCACTCTTGTCTACCTCCAGTGTTACAAATTTCCTTCCAATTGCAGATAGTCTACCTTCTACCACCCCATTATAATTGACAAAATATAAACTTTCTGATATTTATTTCCATAAAGTAATTTTACCATAATTATTATATTTCTTATGTATCAATCACTTAGAAGATGTTAAACAGTGCTTACTTTCTTTTTTTAGTGTGTCACTGACCAAATATTTTTAGTGCTACATTAAACCTGATTTTCCCCTAAGTCCTGTATTTTTACTAGGCAACTTTTCATAGTATAGTACTTTAAGATAATATATGTTGTAGTATAAAAGAACTGGCTTTATATTACCATTTGATTTCTGACAAAAGTGCAAACACAATTCCATGGATAAGGGGCAACTTATCAACAACTGGTGCCAGAACAAGTCAGACATCAATACAGGAAAATCCATCCACAAACCATAAACAAACATTAACTCAAAACAGATCATGGATCTAAACACAACACACAAAACTAAAATTTTCCAAAAGAAAACATAGGAGAAATATTTGTGATCCTGGATTAGACATAAGCTGCTTAGATACAACAACAAAAGGATAATCTATGAAAGAAAAAAAGTTGATACACAGGATTTAATCAAAGTTAAAAACTGTTCATCAATTAAGAAAATGAAAAAGAAACTATAGACTTGGAGAAAATATTTGCAAATATAAAGGACTTGTAGTCAGTCTATCAAAAATTCAAAATTCAAAGAAAATAAACAATTCAATTTCTAAAATGGGCAAAAGATGTTAATGGACACTTCTCCAAATAAATAAATACATGGAAGGATGCTCAGTGCCATTAATTATGATGGAAACACAAATTTAAACTATTATGAGATACAGCTTCATCCCCACTAGAATAGGGAAATATAAAAATACTAACAATACCAAGTATTGATAAGGATTGAGAACAATAGGAGCTCTTGCACATTGTTGATGGGTATGTAAAACAGTGTAACCGCTTTGGCAAAGAGTCTGGAAGTTTCTCAATAAATTAAATGAACACTTACTATATGACCAAGTCATCTCACTTCTTAGAAATATACTCAAATGAAATAAAAATTTATATTCACATTAAAAAAAAGAACCTTCAGACACTCTGGGGGAAAAAAAAGGACCTAAATGAAAGATCTCTGCGAGTGAGATCCCAGTGGAAAGAATGGGGCCATCAAAGAAGGAGGTACCTTTCTCTGAAGGGAGGAGAGAACTTCCACTTTGACTATGACCCTGTCGGAATAAGATTGAAGTCGGCAAACTCAAAAGCTTCCATAGCCTTGGCAACTCATGACTAGAGCCTGGGGAGATTACTGATGCCATAAACAAGAGTGTCAAATTGTTAAGTCAACAACAGGAGTCCCTGTGTACTTACTTCTCATGTGGGATCTGTCCTTAGTGTGTTTTCCAATGCGAAGTAATTGCTATAACTAGTACTGAAACAGTATTTTACACTTTGTGTTTCTGTGTGGGTGCAAACTGATGAAATCTTTACTTAATATATACTAAATCAATCTTCTGTACATAAAGATAATTGAAAATGAATCTTGATGTGAATGGAATGGGAGAGGGAATGGGAGATGGGAGGGGTGTGAGTGGGAGGGAAATTATGGGCGGGGGGAGCCATTGTAATCCATAAACTGTACTTTGGAAATTTATATTTACTAAATAAAAAAAAACCTTCATAGAGTGGTTTTACTTGTCTTTGCCAATATAAAGAAATAACCCAAATAACCCTTATGAGGGAATGAATAAACAAACCATGGTAGTAACCATAAAATGCAAACACTACTCAGCAATTTAGACCACCGATATATGCAAAAATGTGGATGAGTCTCAAATGCACTATGCTAAGTAAATGTAGCCAAACTCAAAAGGCATATTGCGTGCCTATGTTTATATTATATTGTGGAAAGGGAAAAACTATAGGGACAGAGAACAAGTTGGTAGTTGGTTTGAAATAAGGGAGGAGTGACTTACAACAAGGGAATCTGGTGCTTATAGAACTGTTTTATGTTTTTATTTTGGTGGTTAAAAGACCTTTTACATCTATCAAAACTTATAGAACTACCTAAGGAAGTGATTTTTAAAGTAAACTTTGTATTTTGAGATAACTGCAGATATATATGTAGCTACATAAAATACCAGAGAAATCCTATATGCCCTTTACTCAGTTTCCCCTAGTGAAACATCTTGTGTAACTATGATACAATAACAGCCAGGACGTTAACACTGATGCATTCAAGATACAGAACAGCTCCTTCCATCTCACAAAGATCAGAAGGATGAGTTTAACTGTAGGAAATTACACTCTAATTTTAAAAATGAAAAAAAAAAAAACACTTAACAGCTATCAGACCTATGTTGCTCTTTTTCAATAAAATTCCAGTATTAACAATATTAAGGTTTCTGCAAACGGACTTCTAACCATGCTCAAATATTCTCATTTAAAAATACACTTATCCTTGTACAATAACTTCATGCATTATAATTTTAAGTATAGTTTCTAAAATATTTTTAACAAACTGTTATGTTGTTTCTCTATATTTCAGGACTTTTAAACTTTGAAAATTCCATTTGGAAAATTAAATGTAGTGCAAGCTAAGATTCAAATTTAGTTCAGGCAAATATAACATACCTTTAAGCAGGGACAGGGAACCTTTTTTCTGCCAAGGGCCATTTGGAAATTTGGGCCATGCAAAATGATCAACTTTTAAAAGTTAGGCTGCTATACATCTACTGAATTTTGAGTCCCACCTGTGGTTGCACTGCCAGGGCCAGTCCAAATGATCTCATGGTTCTTATACTACCCATTTTATAGAGAACACTGGCTTCGTTGGCCATTTCAGAGAGAAGTGGGGAACGAGGAGCATTTTTTATCCTTCTTTTATGTTTCAGAAAGTTATAACAATCCATATACTTTCTGTTATGCTGTTTTTGTGACAAAACTGATATGTAATACTAGAATTTTCTCAGCAATTGACAAAAATTTTACAATTATAAAAATAGCTACATGATCAAGTAAGATATATGTTACCCAGATATATGTTTCCAAACCACCAATTTGAAAATAAAACATAGAAATCATCTATATCAAGAAAGTATTTTGGGGAGTGTGGGGCAGTATTCCACATCCTTGTAACCTTACATGACTCCTTTATAAGGTAACTTTATTATATAAAAAAGCAAATTCAGAACACGATAATTTAGTGGGTATTTACTGTACGTAAATTCAGATTTATTTGCAAGTAATTATGAAAACCATTTAAAATTATTTTCTCAGATATACATTTTTGTCAGAAAATATTCATTTCAAGTACATATGATTTTGAATTTCTGATGCTGTACATTTTTTCTTCCTTTATGGAAATGATCCCTGAATTGTATCCCTCAGAAAATATAGCAGTAACAATTCAAATCAATTCTATGTTTCAATTATTATCATTTTTAGTGGGATATTATGATTAAGCATGATTTTCTAAATAGGCAAGTCATGTCATATAGTTAGTTTTTATACAGACCATGGGAGAAAGGGAAGATTTCAGGAAAAAATTCAGTTACAATGAAAATATAAATAATGTATTAACAAGTATACAGATATTTGGGAATATTTCTCTCATTCTATTAATCTTCTGCTTTATAACCATCCTAGTATGAGGCCAATAAGAAAACACAGTTAACTTTTCTATGGTCTATTGCCACTACAGAGTAGACTGCTAAACATTAGGTCCACTACTTAAATCTGCCAAAATTTTAAAGTCAACAAGTTAAAAAAATGTTTGGCAGATATCCTAAGATTACTCTGTGGAAACTTAGATTGTGGGTGAAGACCCAGCCTGGATGAGACATTTCTACTTCACCACAGCCCACAAACACCCCACTAGTATCAATGTCAAATAACAATCAGTATGTTTCTTTTGACTATAGTGTTCAAAAAGGAAAGACGGAAGGCAATGGGAAGAGAAGGATAAGAAGGGAGAAAGACACACAGAGGAAAGACAAGAAAAAGATAAATAAAAAAGGAACATACAAAGAAAAGAAATTAAACGTATGAAAAGGAAAATAGCCTTTAAAAAACCTGCTGTCAATGTTTACACTTAACATACCTCACTGGAATACTATGAAGTATCCTACTCATCACAAAACACTGAATTTAGGTTATAATCATAAAACCATAAACTGGATAATACTTATTATTGTATATATTATTTAGAAGAAATGTCAGTGTCATTGTAATTGAATTGTTTTACAAATTATGAAACACACTTTCTTCCCATTAAACATCTTGTATCCTTTGTTTATAAATTAATACTAATCCTATTATTCTCTGTTCAGCCAGTTTAAGACTCTAAAAATTATCAAAAAATAGAATTCAAATTAAAAGCCTACATATAAAATATCTTAGGCATCATTATTTGCCCAAATATCCCTATTGTAGTAGACATTTAAGTGGAATTTATTCTATTCTTTTCTCACCTTTCTCACCTCTGATAATATAAATATAATTTATTAAGAAAAAAATGAGGGGCTGATGCTGTGGCATGGTGGGTAAAACCACCACCTTCAGTGTCGGCATCCCATATGGACACCAGTTCAAGTCCAGGCTGCTCCACTTCTGATCCAGCCCTCTGCTAATGTGCCTGGGAAAGCAGCAGAGGATGGCTCAAGTAATTGGGCCTCTTCACTGACGTGGGAGACCTGGAAGAAGCTCCTGGATACCTGACCATTTGAGGAGCTCCTGGCTACCTTGGCCATTTGGGGAGTGAACCAGAGGATGGAAGATATCTCTGTCTCTCCCTCTCTCTATATATAACTCTACCTTTCAAAATAAATAAATAATTTCTTTTAAAAAAGAAAAAAAAAACAAAAGAAGGAATTAAATGCTAATTAGCTTTTTAATTAAATTTTAACTGATAGAGAATCAGACTACGAATCAGGAAGATTCATTAAATTTTATTTGTCACATTTACTTTGGCTTGCAAGGTAATTTATCTTTAAATTTTACTTTATGTTCATAATAATGTAGTATACTTTCAGGAATTCAGAACAACTTATCTTTAAACTGTACCAGTTCAAAATTATCTGTAAAGATCACGTCTTCATATTATTTCTGTTCTAACATTCTGATAAATACAGAATTTACTGCCTATTGAAAACACATGTAACCTTTTGATGGTGCCTAAGTATAATGCTCCTGGGATCCATCCAAGTTGTTACATGAGTAGAACATTCTTTCTTTTTTATTGCTGAATAGTGTTCCATTTTATGGATGTCTTATAGTTTATTTATTCACTCACCTTTTCAAAGACATTTGGGTCATTTCCAGTCCTGGACTATTACAACAGAGTTGCTATAAACATTCATGTATATAATTTCATGTGATATTAAGCTTTTATTTCTCCAGGATATATATTCAAGAGTGTGACTAATGTATGGTTGTATAACACTGGCTTATATAACGCTTTCAAAATAATTAAATTATAGAGCTATAGAACAGACAGGTGGTTGCCAAAAGCTACTGAAGGGGGTGGAAGAGTATCACTATATTTCTTTTTTTTTTAAGATTTTATTTATTTACTTGAACGTCAGAGTTACACAGAGAGAGGAAAGGTAGAGAAGAGAAAAGAGGTCTTCCATCCACTGGATCACTCCTCAATTGGCCGCCAACAGCTGGTGCTGTGCCAATCCGAAGCCAGGTGCCAGGAGCTTCTTCTGGGTCTCTCAAGCGGGTACAGGGGCCCAAGGACTTGGGACATCTTCTACTGCTTTCCCAGGCCATAGCAGAGAGACTTTTTGGAAGTGGTGCAGCAGGGATTCGAACCAGCACCTATATAGGATGCCAGCACTACAGGCGGCAGCTTTACCCACAATGCCAGAATGCCGGCCCCTACTATATTTCAAATGTGATAACTATTTACAATAAGTCAGTCTACACTGAAACTAAAATGAAATATTTTTACATAGAAAATCAAGTCATTTCTTAATTAGCATACTGCTTCCATTATATAATTTTAATATTTTAATTAGAACATATTGAAAACTAATTCTTAAACAGTAGTTCATGAAAGAATGAATAAAATTCAAAGCAAATCAAGAAAGAGGATAAAAGAAAATACACTTAGACAAATACACATTAAAATAAAAAGTATAAAATATTAGTGTATAAGAAAATGTGCATACCTGTTAACTTGATATGTCCTATTTCATCAAGCAAAATGCTGTAAATAAAATTCATATTCAACAAGATGAAATATCTAATATAAAATATTTACATAAAATCACAAATGTAAAATTAGCATTTCTTTTTATATATTAAATAATTTTAAAATATTAGTTTAAAATAAATAAATGCCTTCTTTATGAAGATTACTTTTTACAAATAAGTTTCATATAATTACATAAAATGTAGAATTATGGAGTATGTCAAAACATAGTTCTAGAAATTAACAGGGATACATAAGAATAAAGCTTTACTTTTCTGGCTTCAGGTCTCTATATACAATCCCTAATCGATGCAGATGATCCAAAGCAAGGGCCAATTCAGCAAGGTAGAATTTCACATCTTCCTCTGTAAACAGAACCTAGAATAAAATAATAATTTCCATTTGACTTTTGTTCCAATATTGATTTTTAAAGTTTCTTTAAAAGCCAGTAGACAGAAAAATATAGACAAGTAATAAGAAAATAAGCATACTCAATTATCATATAGTTGGCATAATTATCAGGAATGCCACAGATTTAAGATTTTTAGACAGATGAAACTAATCTCTTTAGGAATCTTTCTCTTCGGTATTGACCATTTTTATGTAAATTTTCCTGAACATATTATGTTGTTTGTGTAAGTTCTTACACAGAATGAATAGCACCAGATTTACCTTTTTTAAATGACTTGATGTCAAAATACCAATTATTAATTTCAGTATTCTGATTTAACAGTGATATCCTTGTGGTATTTGAAATATACAGGATATCTTGTTTTAACAATGTTCATATCACTATTTCTACCCTTTCAAGTATCAGGAATATAATTTTTAGCAGCTCTGCTAATCCAAAACCTCTAATAGAATATCAAGTTTTTAATTAGTAACCCTTTTATTACATATTAATTCTAAACTCATCTCTAGCTTAAAGTATAAGCCTCTTCCATTAATAAAGTAAATGAGCACACTGGCATAGTATTCCTCAATCTTTTTCTGCTGGGGTATACAGCTGTAATGGACTTGAAATCCAAATCAGCACTGTAATATCACACATGCCACTTAGCTCTCGAGCCTCAGTTTCTAAATCTGTAAAATAAGGATGATAATTGCTCTATCTACTTAACAAGGTTGTTGTAAGAATTAAATTAGGTTCTGTGGGGAAAAGAAGTTGTGTTAATTGTAAAATGCTGGGTGTGCAATCCTAGGTATTATTACAGGTTTATGCCTATACAAATCAACAAGTAAATGTTAATTTACACAAAATGAACATTAGTCAACCATTCAATGTAATATTTATGGTTTATCAAGGGTCTCATATTTGCCAAATCACATATTTTTCTAGAAATGAGTTATTTTCATGAAAGCAAACTCTGGATTACTAGGAAGGCTCAAAATTTGAATAAAATCTCATAAAATCTTATCAACAGCCTCCCCATTTAGAATTATGGCAGATTTGGGCCACTAGTAAAATTGCAGAGAATGAGCAGTTAAAGATAACTTTTGAGTCCCCATCTACTTTACAAATGATTAACAGAAAAACAAAGATTATTAACTAACTTTTAGGGGCATTAATTTGAATGTTATAGTGGTAAAGTCTAAGAACATAATTTTCACTTTACTCTTTCTTAGGAATAGAAGTACACTTTACTTATTTAACTTCCAGGCAAGGATAATCAAAAACTTTACTGAAACCTAACACATGAGAAAACCTTACATAGGGGCAGACATTTCATGTACTGGTTAAGATCCCACTTGAGATGTCCACATCCTATAGGGAAGTGTGTGGGTTTGAGTCCCAGCTCCATTTCTGCTTCCAGCTTTCTGCTAATGCATACTCTGGGAAGCAACAGGTGATTGCTCAAGTACTTGTATCCCTGCTACCCACATCACAGACCCAGCAAGAGTTCAGGTCCTGGCTTAGGCCTGGTCCAGTTCAAGCAGTTGCAGGTATCTGGGGAGTGAACCAGCAGATATAAGGGCTGTGTGTGTGTATGCGTGTGTACCTTCCAAATAAATAACCTTTTTAAAACACTAAATAAAAATCTTCCAAAACTCTAAATTGAAAAAAATTTTTAAAAAGTTGGGGCCAGCACTGTGGCGTAGTGTGCAAAGCCTCCGCCTGTGGTGCCGGCATCCCATATGGGCACCAGTTTGAGTCCTGGCTACTTCTTTTCCCATCTGGCTCTCTGGTACAGCCAGGGAAAGCAGCAGAAGATGGCCCAAGTGCTTAGACCCTTGCACCTGTGTGGGAGACCAAGAAGAAGCTCCTGGCTCAGCTCAGCTCAGCTCAGCTCCAGCCGTTGTGGCCATTTGGGGAGTGAACCAGCAGATGGAAAACCTTTCTCTGTCTCTCCCTCTCACAGTGTGTAACTCTACCTCTCAAATAAATAAATAATAAATAAAAATCTTAAAAAAAAAAAAAAGAGGGGCCGGTGCTGTGGCTTGGCAGGTAAAGCCACTGCCTGCAGTGCCAGCATCCCATATGGGTGCCAGTTCAAGATCCGGCTGCTCACTTCTGATCCAGCACTCTGCTATGGCCTGGGAAAGCAGCAGAAGATACCCCAAGCCCTTGGGCCCCTGCACCGGCACGGGAGACCCGGAAGAAGCTCCTGGTTCCTGGCATTGGATCAGTGCAGTGCCGACCATTGCGGCCAACTGGGGAGTGAACCATCAGATGGAAGACCTCTACCCCTCCCCCTTCCTCTCCCTCTCCTTCTCTCTCTCTCTCTCTCTCTCTCTCTCTCTCTCTGCCTCTCCTTCTCTCTCTGTGTAACTCTTTCAAGTAAAATAAATACAACTTTAAAAAAAAAGAAAAGAAAAAAACTGTTGCCTAGGTTAGAGCTTATGGCAAATCTATCATCTTGTTATAAAGTTGTCTTGATGAAACTGTCATGATGGATGAGAAGAAACTTACTAACAGGGTTGGCAATGTGGTACAGCAAGTTAAGCCATCGCCTGCAATGCCAACATCTATATATGTGCCAGTTCAAGTCCCAGCTGTTCCATTTCTGATCCAGTTCTCTGCTACTGTGCCTCTGAAAGCAGCAGAGGATGGCCCAAATACCCAAATACTTGGGCCCCTGCCTCCCATGTGGGCAACCCAAAAGAAACTCCTGACTCTTGGCTTTGGACTAGCTCAGCCCCAGCCATGGCAATCATTTTGGGAGTAAACCAGTGGATGGAAGTTATCTCTCTTTTTGTCTCACACTCTCTCTGTAACTCAGTCTTTAAAATAAAATAAAATAGGGCCGGCACCGTGGCTCACTAGGCTAATCCTCCGCCTAGCGGCGCCAGCACACCGGGTTCTAGTCCCGGTCGGGGCGCCAGATTCTGTCCCGGTTGCCCCTCTTCCAGGCCAGCTCTCTGCTGTGGCCAGGGAGTGCAGTGGAGGATGGCCCAGGTGCTTGGGCCCTGCACCCCATGGGAGACCAGGAAAAGCACCTGGCTCCTGGCTCCTGCCATTGGATCAGCGCGGTGCACCGGCCGCAGCGCACCGGCCGCGGCGGCCATTGGAGGGTGAACCAACGGCAAAGGAAGACCTTTCTCTCTGTCTCTCTCTCTCACTGTCCGCTCTGCCTGTCAAAAAAAAAAAAAAAAGTTTCGTAAACATGAAAAAAATAAATAAAATAAAATAAAATAAAATAAATCTTAAAAAAATAAACTTGCTATGTAGCAATTATGTGCCAGGATCAATTAACTGTGTACGAAGCACTGGACCTACAATGTTACAATCTTCAAACAACTTTATGAAGTAGGTTTATCAACATCTTACGCATGGAGAAAAACTTGGAATGATTAAGTAACCTGCCCAAAAAACACAACTAGTAAGAAGGAGATCCAAGATTTGAACTCAGGGATATTTTTCCCTAAGAATAACCTTTTAGGGGCAGGCATTTGTTTAGTCCAGCAGGTAAGAAAACAGTTAAGATGCCCACATCCCTTATCAGAATGCCTGAGTTTGAAATCCAGCTCCAGTTACTGATTCCAGTTTCCTGCTAATGCAAAACTGGGGAAGTAGTGATGGCTCAAGTAACTGAGTCCCTGCCACCTGTGGTGGTATACCTGGATTGAGTTCAGCCCAGCCCAGCCACTGTGGGCATTTGGGGAGTGAACCAGTGGATGGGAATTCTCTCTCTGTCTGGCTCTTTGTATCTTTCTTTGTGTTTGTGTCTCTCTCTACCTCTCAAATAAACATACATATATACAAATAACAATAGCTTAACAATAACAATGAATTGTTACTAAAAATTGCTATTAAGCTTTAAAAATAATGAAAATCATCCAAAACTCCAGCACCCTGAGAAAAGCATCTACAAATTTTGTTACCTTCTCTTCAAATCATTTGTGCATGTACAACATGAATATTTGTGTGAATGTATGTTTTAACATAGTTGAAATCATTATACATACTAGTTAGTGGCCTCTTCTGTCACCACATAATGCTATATAATAAGCACTCTCCCATATTTTTAAACTTTACTTACAAACAGTTTCTAATATGCACAGTATCAATCATTTCAATTTATTATGATTTACCTAAACATTCCCCTTTTTGGACATTCAGGTTATTACTAGATCTTCACTATTTAAAAAAAAACTCTATAATATGAACATGTCTTGATTAATATTTATATTTCTGCAAAATGGATTCTTAAGAAATCAAACAGGAAATTTTGGGTCAAGGAACACAAGTAGTCCAAGATTCCTGACATATACAACAAAATTACTTTTCAGAATTGTTATAATAATTTTCACTGCCATCAGCAGTTTACAAAAGCATTTGTCTTAGCACATCCAAAACAGTGCTGAATACATCCTTTTAAAAATCTTTTCAAATTGGATATACAAAACCAGCATTATTTTTATTTTAATTTAAATTTTGATTCTTAGGCTGGATATTTTTTAAAGTTTAGTGAGTGGCCTGTTTTTTCATGAATTAACAATAATATTTTTGCCTATATTCCATTATTAACTTATGTTTTCTCTATTGGTACAAGCCCTTTCAATATTAAAAACATCAGTTCTCCGAGCCGGCGCCGTGGCTCAATAGGCTAATCCTCCACCTTGCGGCGCCGGCACACCGGGTTCTAGTCCCGGTTGGGGCGCCGGATTCTGTCCCGGTTGCCCCTCTTCCAGGCCAGCTCTCTGCTATGGCCAGGGAGTGCAGTGGAGGATGGCCCAGGTGCTTGGGCCCTGCACCCCATGGGAGACCAGGAAAAGCACCTGGCTCCTGGCTCCTGCCAGGATCAGCGCGGTGCGCCGGCTGCAGCGGCGGCCATTGGAGGGTGAACCAACGGCAAAAGGAAGACCTTTCTCTCTGTCTCTCTCTCTCACTGTCCACTCTGCCTGTAAAAAAAAAACAAATAAAAAAAAAAAAAAAA